TTCCCTTGACAATGGCGCCAAGATGTCGCCGAAACGTCGGATTTGTCTATCGTTAGTTTTTGCCTGTATATGTTTATCTAAATCATTGTTGATTAGAAACTCGTAATCTAGTATATTATATTTTAACCTGATTATGAAATTTTTTTTAAGATTTTACACAACGATGCTTCTAAAGAGTGAACTGAATAACAAAGACAAACTAAAACTAAAAAGATTGAAAAAATTTATTAACGAAGCAAGCAAGAAGCAAGAAGCAAGCAACTGAAATTGCCTAAGTGCGCGTGTGGCAACACACGCTTGCATATTTTTAACGGACGATAACATCAAAGCCATAACACGCAAAGACAAACGAAAGTATAGTCTCAAATAATCAGGCAAACGATTGTTATTAAACAAACTGTGGTGATTTCCTAAGTTGAAAAAATCGATTTCAAGTTGATTTATAAGCTTGCCGTGTTCTGAGAATAAGGGACTCCCAAACGCAAAACTGCCGTTCATCGCCTTTGCGACGTTGATGTCCTCCTTTTGTTCGATCGAATGTCCTTTAGGGTTGTTTTCTCCCGTTTTGAATTCCAAAAAGGAGAGAAATATCGCAGGGAGATATCGTCTTGAAAATTCAGCGGGGCAAACGTGATAGACGCCATTACACATATAAAAGCGAGCCGCTGATTGGATAACATTTACTCCTTGAAGAAAGTGCTCGCTGATTGGCTTCTTCTTGGATATCCCAGATATTCGACCATGGAAGGAAGGAACCAAGGGCGCGTTCCATTCGACCAAAATTTCCGGAAATTCCGGTTCAAAATCGAATAAAACAGAAAGTTTCCGGAAAGTCGTTTCGAAATTCTGGTCAACCTCTCGAGGTTGTCCTTTTTTTCGGAGATTTGGAGATTCCGGAAATTTCCTGTTCCATTTGGCATTTCTACCCGGTATGAATCGGCCCCAGTTCCTCTAGTCGTGAAAAGCTACAAGATGGCGGCCAATCGACAATACACTGGATGCAAAACGATCTGCCACAGTTCGAACCTTTTATTGCTTACTGCACTTTAATAAGACAGCCACTTTGTCATTATCCTTCAAAATTTTGTCGAGTAAATCTTGGCGGGAAATGTGCCTAAGCGGGAATAGAACGAGATTGGTCCGGCCTGATGGAAAATACCGTTCCGTTCGCCATACAAATATTTCGGTAATTCACACCGGAATTTTTGGTCGAAAGGAACGCGATCCAAATATCTCAAATTCTTCCCAGAAAATGTGTGCTGCCTTGCTAATGCTGCGGCAGTAATTAATGCTGAAGTAGATGGACAATTTGACAAACTTTTCTTTACTTAAATGCACAAAACGGAAGGGATAGTTACTATAAAATCTTACATCAGACGCCCAGGGAAATGATGAACCGAAGGCATTCGAGATAAACACTCTAGGGACCATCCAAGCATCTGTAAAGACAACTTTTAAAACAAGTAAAGGCAACAACTTATCCAGGCAGTGTCCGTTAAGCCAGAGCTCACTGTTTAAACATCGCCCACAATGCTATTGTCTTTTGCGACATGTACTTGCAGTGTCCATTTCATATATTAGTGCGCGGCGTAATAATTTGGATATTCAGAACTAGTCAGCCGTGATTGGTCAACAGACTTAGCTCTGGGAATACCTCGAGTCTCTTCGCGATTCCACTGCTGTCAATCAACGGTTGGGCGTGTGAAGCAAATTTCAGAGTGCGATAAAGTGGACAATAGCGTCCTAATTAGTCATAGTAAACAAAAAAAGCGGTTCTTAAAAGCGGTTGAGACGAACGCAAAACGTCACTTGCTGCCTTGGGAGGACCGCCAGAAATTATTTCTTGCGCTTTGTTAGAATTAAATTTCCAGAAAATCCGGCCTGTCAGTACCTGTGTTGGCTTGCGAGCTTGAGTCACAAATCCGGACAAGCGTGAAGAGTACCTTCACCACGCGCCTTTGAAAAGCGATAACAAACAAAACTTACGCTTTGGAAAAATAAATTTTACTCCCCGCCCCCCGAAAACAAGCTTTTGCTAGCTCGTAAGAATCAAGTAACGGGGAAGAATTTGTCACGCGCGAGTGAAGGTACGCGAAAAATTGATATTTGTTGGGATCTTTTGCTTAGATCCTGTAGCCGACTTAGAAAACATGATATTTGGTGACAATAACACTCTTTAGCTTGGTATATTGTACAAATAAGTTGTTCTTCGGGAGCCTGCAATCGTTATCCTAGCTAGCATTTTTAATTTGATTTAATATTCCGCCTTCCCTATTTCTGTTGGCGTTGTAATAATGAAGGAAAAAGACTGTACAAGGCTGATCTTTTTCTTGATAAGCTAGTAGGGCAATTATGCTATGTGGATAATCCCTCTTGTTTTTTTGATCTTGTTCTTCCTAGGGAAAGTGTGCCCGGGTGAACCATGTGAGAAGCGAGAATGCGAGCAGAAAGAAAAGGTAATAACGTGTAAGAACGGGGAAAGCTACAAGACAAAACGATGGCAATGCATTGCAGGCGGTGAGGCAGAAATTGAACAAGAACTCTTTGTTCGTTCGACATGGGACAACAACCGTTACCGGTTTGCTTTTGATGACAAGAAGTCTGTATTGGAATTAAAGCAAGACATTGAGCAAAGTCTTGGTAAGGTCGCTGTATGTCTATTTTATTCAGCATTAGAAGCTGAGTCCATGTTTTTGTTAGGTAGATTGGACCGATATATCGGTGGATGCATCGGTTGATAGTCGGTCGACAATCGACCGATACATCGGCCGATAGCTGGCAGATAGTCGGTCGGCAATCGGCCGATAGTCGGTCGATGGTCGGCCGAGAATTGGCCGATACTCGGTCGATAGTCGTGCGATAGTCGGACGATATATAGCGACCAACTCTCGGCTGAGTGTTGGTCGATACGTTGTGGAGGCATCTCGATCGAGTGTGGGTAGTATGTTGGAGGTATGTCGGTTAAGTGTCGGTGTTATATCGGTCAACTGTCGGTCGAATACAGTCATTTGTCAGGTATCGGTCAAGCGGGATAGTTTAGCTACTGAGTAGCAGTTGTGCACTATCGGGGGTTGAAGAGGAATAATGGAATAATGGTTATTTTACGGCTTGAATAACGGAATGATGGCTTTGTTTCGGTGGGATAATGGAATAACGATTTCATTTTGGAAAACTCTCCAAAAATAGTATCTCCCAGTTTACAATACTTGTGCTGTAATGGTTCAGCACTGCAACCTTATGTAGGTTGACGATAAAAAGCTCTGGCATTAGGCAACTGCTTGAACGTTGTTGATCATGTTATTTTCATCTTCTTTGTTGAACAACTTATCGTAAAATGTCATAACCTGCTGTCGAAAACGAGCTTGGTGCTCTTGACGTTTAGTCCTATTTTTCATACAGCTATCCAGCTACATATAACTAAATAGGCGTGTTTACTTTGTATAAACCGTAAACATGTATGTAATATGTCCATGTCACCGTATGGCACACAAATCAGGTTTTTTATTGAAGCAACCTTGTGCATTAATAACCAAAACAATTGATTCTAAAGGGGTTTAAAATAGCAATAGAAGTTTGCCATTTCTTAATAGAGTAGACTTTATGTAATAGGCCAAGACTGACCTGTACAGATGGGTTGTGCTTTAGTTTTATACTTGCTTCACGTAGTAATTCGACAACCCTGGAGGGTGTTCAGCGTTGCATTTTGTATCGACCGAGCCGGTTGGCCGACTGTCGACCGAGTGTCGGCCGATACGCGTTGAATTATCCGCGAAGTGTCCACAAAGTGTCGGCAACGTGTGCGCGAGGTATCGGTGAACTAAAATCTCTCGACAAACACCTCGACCGACTATCGACCAATTGTTGGCCAACTATCAACCGACTATTGACCAGAACATCAACCAATATATCGGTCAAGACTACATGATCCGCTGAGTCCTCACACTGCTTTTGATGGATGGGGTCACTCAAATTTTAATATTTTCCTTCAGTATGTTGACAAAGTTACCAGACTTTGATGGTACAAACTTGGCATTGTTCCCCGCGATCTATGGAAGACAGAGGAGCCGGGAGTGCCTAACTGCATTTACCCTGTATACAGCTACATACACTCACTGAGAATAGATATTTCATTCTAAGCCTAACATGTTTTGTGTTATTTTTACGAAACATCTGTAACCATACCATGTTTTCTTTATTTTCAAGCCTGTCTATCCAAATTTTCGAGATGTCTCAAAACCATTTTGGATTCACTGTCGACGGTGGGAAGAAAACTTATGTTTAAGTTAATTAGGGGTAATATGGATCAAACGTAACTTTGTGAATTCTTAGCTACTTTGAACTGAAAACCAATGTTGAATGAAATGCTATGCGTTTGCTTTTACTGAGCTGCCCGCAGTACTCAACAATGACATGATAAATCCACCCTAAGAGAATAATGCTCTGATAATGCCATAATGATGATGATAATGATGATGATGATGATGATGATGATGAAGAAGAGGATAATGCGCGATTTTCCTTACTTTTCCTAGATATCACGACGGTCCGACAAAAGCTATCCTTTCACGGCTCTATGTTGGAGGATGCGAAGATGTTGTCATATTATGGCCTCAGCGCTGGTGATATCGTCGATCTGCAGACAAAATGCACTGAGTGTGATCAGTCTTGTGATGTCGCACACAATAACCTGGGTCTTCGCAAAAGACGAGATATCACCAAGAGAAAAACCGTCTTTGACCATCAATCAAAACCAGAATTCATGGCCGCATGTGGTAAAGATTTCTTTTTGGACGGGAAATTTCCGGAGGGATTTGAAGAAACCGANAGGCCAAGACTGACCTGTACAGATGGGTTGTGCTTTAGTTTTATACTTGCTTCACGTAGTAATTCGACAACCTTGGAGGGTGTTCAGCGTTGCATTTTGTATCGACCGAGTGTTGGCCGACTGTCGACCGAGTGTCGGCCTATACGTGGTGAATAATCGGCGAAGTGTCCACAAAGTGTCGGCAACGTAGGGGCGAGGTATCGGTGAACTAAAATCTCTCGACACGCACCCCGTCCGACTATTGAGCAATTGTTGGCCAACTATCGACCGACTATCGACCAGAACATCAACCGATATATCGGTCAAGACTACCTAAAGTAAACATGATCCGCTGGGTCCTCACACTGCTTTTGATGGATGGGGTCACTCAAATTTTAATATTTTCCTTCAGTATGTTCACAAAGATATCAGACTTTGATGGTACAAGCTTGGCATTGTTCCCCGGGATCTATGGAAGACAGAGGAGCCGGGAGTGCCTGCATTTACCCTGTATACAGCTACATACACTCACTGAGAATAGATATTTCATTCTAAGCCTAACATGTTTTGTGTTATTTTTACGAAACATCTTTAACCATACCATGTTTCCTTTATTTTCGAGCCTGTCTATCCAAATTTTCGAGATGTCTCAAAACCTTTTTTAATTCACTGTCGACGGTGGAAAGAAAACTTATGTTTAAGTTAATTAGGGGTAATGTGGATGAAATGTAACTTTGTGAATTCTTAGCTTCTTTGAACTGAAAACCAATGTTGAATGAAATGCTACGCGTCAGCTTTTAGCTGCCCACAGTACTCAACAATGACATGATAAATCCACACCGTAAGAGAATAATGCCCTAATAATGCCGAAATGATGATGATGATGGTGATAATGATGATGATGATGATGATGATGAAGAGGATAATGCGCGATTTTCCCTACTTTTCCTAGATATCACGACAGGCCGACAAAAGCTATCCTTTAACGGCTCTATGCTGGAAGATGCGAAGATGTTGTCATATTATGGCCTCAGCGCTGGTGATATCGTCGATCTGCAGACAAAATGCACTGAGTGTGATCAGTCTTGTGATGTCGCACACAATAACCTGGGTCTTCGCAAAAGACGAGATATCACCAAGAGAAAAACCGTCTTTGACCATCAATCAAAACCAGAATTCATGGCCGCATGTGGTAAAGATTTCTTTTTGGACGGGAAATTTCCGGAGGGATTTGAAGAAACCGATTCCAAAAAATTTATATGCCAGACATACAAGAAGGGCCTGCCATATTTCGCCACTAAGTTTGACACGACTAGAAAAACTGCAGACTTTTCAGCCTACAAGCCGAACATCGGATATGATGGTAGACCCACCTGGAAGGATTTGTATGAGCACGGTACATATATAAGCTATATGATATACATGTATTTCTCCTCCCATATTCCTTCAACCTGGGCTTTTTCATGCTGCCTTCTTCAACAATATCCAAAGGCTAGAGGTATGAAGAACAAGCCTAGCCTCGGTTGTTCCGTGGATAAATTGCTATTCCGTGAAAATAAACTAAAATGCTTTCACTCGTGATTTGACAATGACAAATTTTATCCACCTGGTTAACAGCTATCTGCGCTTTGAACAACTGGGCCTTGGTTCATCATTAAAAGGTTTCTCTCCAGCTTACTAGCTGAAAAAAGGCAATAACAATCAAATTTGAACAAAACCCTTGTTTCCGCAGAAACAGTAAATGTTCCACCGGATAAATACTCCTTGAAAAAGTAAAATTGGCACAACTTCGTATAGCTCCATCATTGGTCAAAACGTTCTCGTCATTTTTGTGTGCTGAAAGGCTACCACAGCAAAAGTATAACCCATTAAAAACACCCTTAATTTCAGCTTTTAGTGCTTTTAACTTTAAAGTTAACTCGATGATCCCCATTTTTTTATAATCGAGTTATGATCAGCATGCAATGTTACAGCGATTAGCAAAGTTACCAGAGATTCTATTCCAGGGCGCCTAAATTTTCAAAACATTATGGTGGTTCTAAACCTCTCCAAAATAATTATTTTGAACTTTGCAAAACGTTGTACCATAACATGGTGATCATAGCCNAGCTACATACACTCACTGAGAATAGATATTTCATTCTAAGCCTAACATGTTTTGTGTTATTTTTACGAAACATCTTTAACCATACCATGTTTCCTTTATTTTCGAGCCTGTCTATCCAAATTTTCGAGATGTCTCAAAACCTTTTTTAATTCACTGTCGACGGTGGAAAGAAAACTTATGTTTAAGTTAATTAGGGGTGATGTGGATGAAATGTAACTTTGTGAATTCTTAGCTACTTTGAACTGAAAACCAATGTTGAATGAAATGCTACGCGTCAGCTTCTAGCTGTCTACAGTACTCAACAATGACATGATAAATCCACACCGTAAGAGAATACTGCCCTAATAATGCCGTAATGATGATGATGATGATGATGATGATGATGATGATCAAGAGAATAATGCGCGATTTTCCCTACTTTTCCTAGATATCACGACAGGCCGACAAAAGCTGTCCTTTAACGGCTATATGCTGGAAGATGCGAAGATGTTGTCATATTATGGCCGCAGCGCTGGTGATATCGTCGATCTGCAGACAAAATGCACTGAGTGTGATCAGTCTTGTGATGTCGTACACAATAACCGGGGTCTTCGCAAAAGACGAGGTATCACCAAGACAAAAACCGTCTTCGACCATCAATCAAAACCAGATTTCATGGCCGCATGTGGTAAAGATTTCTTTTTGAATGGGAAATTTCCGGAGGGATTTGAAGAGACCGATTCCAAAAAATTTATATGCCAGACATACGAGGAGGACCCGCCATATTTCGCCACTAAGTTTGACACAACTAGAAAAACTGCAGACTTTTCAGCCTACAAGCCGAACATCGGATATCATGATAGACCCCCCTGGAAGGATTTGTATGAGCACGGTACATGTATAAGCTATATGATACTTATATGTATTTCTCCTCCCATATTCCTTCAGCCTGGGCTTTTTTATGCTGCTTTCTTCATCAATATCCAAAGTTTAGAGGTATGAAGAACAAACCTGACCTCGGTTGTTCCGTGGATAAATCGCAAAACCCTTGTTTCCACAGACACAGTAAATGTTCAACCGGACAAATACTCCTTGAAAAAGTAAAACTGGCACAACTTCGTATAGTTCCATATCATTGGTCTAAAAGTTCTCGTCATTTTTGTGTGTTGAAAGGTTACCACACAGCAAAAGTATAACCTATGAAAAATATCCTTGATTTTAGCTTTAAGTGCTAATAACTCAAAAGTGAATTCGGTGACCCCCATTTTTTATAATCGAGTTCTGATCAGCATGCAATGTTACAGCTATTAGCAAAGTTACCAAAAATTCTATTCGAGGGGCGCCTAAATTTTCAAAACATTATGGTGATTCTAAACCTCTCCAATAGAATTACTTTGAACTTTGCAAAACGTTGTACCATAACATGGTGATCATAGCCCAGTAATAAAAAATGGGGGTCACCAAATTAACTTTTAAGTTATTAGCTCTTAAAGGTATAATGAAGGCTGTTTTTAACGGGTTATACTGTTGCTATGGTAACCTTTCAGCTTACAAAAATGATGACAATATGTTGACCAATGCTAGAGTTTTAGTTTGATTTCATTATTGTAGCAGCATTGGATAAAGACTGGCAGTGATGACCCTTCAAAGTTTAAGGACTAGGAAATGATGGAAACTGTAACCAGCCACTTTAAGTTACATGAGAGTAAATTTAACGAGCTTTCGTAATGTCCTCATATGCATACCATTGCCACGGTCTTTGCCCTCATCATCAGTCAATATCACAAACAAACATTCAAAGCTCATTTCAGTCATCTTTTATATGTCGCCTTGTATAGGGGGTATGGGAGACATGCTCCCCCAGAGATCTATGAATATTGAGAACTTCTAATACACAATTTGCTGCATTTTCAGACAAAAACAGCAAAGCTATAGCATGTTTAAATTTATGATTTTGCAACATATTTGAGCCTCCTACCTTACTTACCCTGAAGTGAGCATCTCCTGTTATTGTGAGGCTGATTTTAAGTTGGGCACCCCCCACCACCCTCGTTAAATCCTCCTACACCCCTCCCTTCCCTGGACCATAAATACAGACTGGTCCCTTATCTAAGAATGAATTCTGAAAGATGAAATGAGACGTTCAGCATTGATTCTAGGATGTCCACAGATGGCTAATGTTCCTGTGTCAATTTTCCGTATTTTTCCAACAGGACTTTACGATAAAAATAATAATGGAATACAGTGGTACGGAATTGGCACAAGGTGTGCCCAGTCAAGGTATCCTTACTCAGCTGTAGCATCCACACAAGGCACAGACAAGACTTATTACAGGGCAGGAAAGACATTCAGGGTTGACCGAGGTCACCTCAATCCTTCAGGCAAGTGGAAGCTAGTCTGTTCGGAATTATTAAAGAAATAAAAACGAGCCCGAGTGCATTGTCGAGTTATATAAGGATGCGGCAATTTTCAAAAACACGAGAGAACTGCACAGAGAAACACGAAGCGCAGCCGAGTGCTTCTTGCACTTCGCGAGTGTTTCTAATATTCTCAAGTGCTTATAGAACTTAACAATGCATACGGGCAAGTTCTTTATATATTATAAAATGTTAAAGAAGTAAACCAATTTCTATATATTAAAATTCAGCCTAACACAATAGACCTCAGCACGAGGCTCTGGGGAATAAACCCCACAAACTCTGTAGTTATTCCCCAGAGCCTCGTACTGAGGTCTATTGTTTAACCCTTTGAACACCAAACTGAAACCAAAAAATACCGTTTTTAACCGTTTAGTCAGGTTTTTTAGCTGCCATGACGCTAAATAAGCCTAAGTNCACCATTGCCACGGTCTTTGCCCTCATCATCAGCCAATATCACAAACAAGCATTCAAAGCTCAGTCCAGTCATCTATTATATGTCGCCTTGTATAGGGTGTATGGGGGACATGCTCCCTCAGAGGTCTGTGAAAATTGAGAGCATTTAATACACAATTGGCTGCATTTTCAGACAAAAATAGCCAAACTACAGCATGTTTGAATTTATGATTTTGCAACATACTTGAGCCCCCACCTTACTTGCCCTGAAATGAGCACCTCCTGCTTTTGTGAGGCTGATTTTAAGTAGGGCACTCCCTACCACACTCGTTCAATCCTCCTACACCCCGCCTCCCTTCTCTAGACCATAAATACAGACTGGTCCCTTATTTAAAAATGAATTCTGAAAGATGAAATGAGACGTTCAGCATTGATTCTAGGATATCCACAGATGGCTAATGTTCCTGTGTCAATATTTCGTATTTTTCCAACAGGACTTTACGATAACGATAATGGAATACAGTGGTACGGAATTGACACAAGGTGTGCCTGGTCAAGGTATCCTTACTCAGCTGTAGCATCCACGCAAGGCACAGACAAGACTTATTACAGGGCAGGAAAGACATTCAGGGTTGACCGAGGTCACCTCAATCCTTCAGGCAAGTGGAAGCCAGTCTGTTCGGAATTATTAAAGAAATAAAATCGCGCCCGAGTGCATTGTCGAGTTATATAAGCATGCGGGAATTTTCTAAAACACAAGAGAAGTGCATAGAGAAGCACGAAGCGCAGCCGAGTGCTTCTTTCACTTCTCGAGTGTTTTTAAAATTCCCAAGTGATTATCAAAGGGTAAATTCTCTTCGGTCGCGCCATCATTACGTCAACAGCTCGTGCTAGCTCTGTGTTTCTATCGAGTTATAGAATCACGATTTCTAACCAGTCAGCGCGCGTATTTTCTTAGCACTGTTTTCTAAACAGTTACATTGAAAGGGAATTGACCAATCATAGCGCGCGCAGTTCCTCCCACATTTTATAATGTGAATAAGTCACGCTCACTTTAACCATATATAGAAAGCTTCAATG